AAAGTGGAAAAGAGGAAAAGTGGAAAAGAGGAAAAGTGGAAAAGAGGAAAAGTGGAAAAGTGGAAAAATGGAAAAATGGAAAAATGGAAAGTGGAAAAGTGGAAAAGTGGAAGAGTGGAAAGTACAAAAGTGTACATTGTAAAAGCGTAAAGTGGAAAAGTGGAAAAGTGGAAAAGTAGAAAAATGGAAAGTGGGAAAGTGGAAAAGTGGAAAGTGCAAAAGTGTAAAGTGTAAGGTGCGAAAGTGTAAAGTGTAAGGTGCAAAAGTGTACAGTGTAAAAGCGTAAAGTGGAAAGTGGAAAAGTGGAAAGTGGAAAAGTGGAAGAGTGAAAAATGGAAAGTGGAAAAGTGGAAAGTGTAAAGCGCAATCTGTTTGAATGTACATTGCAAATACTATAGTCCTCCATTTAATTCTGTTAATTAGGAATATGCTTCTTTATTTCCAGAGACGAAGTTAATGACAGTTAATGACAGTAAGTCTGATTTGCGACAAGAAGAAGAATCTTGCCGCTGAGCATTAAGAGGTTCGTTCAATTTTATGTCCCTGTACGGCACACATTTCAGAGATGTTGCCGCGAGATATCATGGCAATTCGGTTAGCTTATCGGATTAGGATGCGGACGATCGTGGAAGGAATCGTTTATACAGGAATCGTATAAGAGAAAAAGAAAAGAACGAAGGAAGATGTAAGGGAATACTGAAAACCAGTTGCGAGGTCTTCCCAGTGATTGCACGCGGTCAGATTAACGAGTCTCTGATAAGGAGGGACGCTTGATAGCGTTTCACGGTGGATGTATTTATGTAATTAGAATGCTGTTTTTGATGGAAACAGCACGTACTTTTATTCTTGACACGAAGAGGTGTCCTTCTAAAAATTCCGAACAAAAAATTACGTTATTTTATCAATTAATATTTTTGTAAAATACGAAGTATTTATAATATATTTTACATCAAATTTAATCTAGACATTTCTTGCATCACGTATTTGTCATGAGAATTTATTAATAAATGTATCTATTTTAAATGTTGTCTGAGAATAATACTTCTTACGTGCACTGTACTTATCAATGGCCAAGGAATTTGTAATTTTTTAAAATAAATCCCTCCCATTGAATGGGGCTCATTCGTTGAAATAGATCTACAATAGATCTATAACAGTGTGCTCCTGTTTTACCAACGATCGATGACATTAACCTTCGCAATACGGCAGACGAGGTAAAAAATACACCTAATTTCTTACTTCACAAAAACTGAAGTACCGACTTCTTCGAAACTCAAAGGTTTTGACGCGCACTCTACGTTCACGTGTGTCAATCTTCTCATAAATGTTCAATTTTTCAGCGAACACAACTTGTAAAGAGAACTGCAATCGATAACGATGTAAACTGTAGTTTGAGTCACAATTACCATCAGCAAAGACGGGATTTTTTAAATTTGCAAATATATTACAGAAAAGTTCCAAGTTTGAAAAGTACAAAAATTCGGTAAATGCATACGAAAAAGTAACAGATATTTTGCCATTTAAAAAGATATCGTAATTATTCGACAAAAACCAGGTTTCCATATTACATTATTCTCTTTTCGTTATATTTAATGTGCTCCATTTCGATTGCAAAATCAGTGTCACTAATAACGTCATGCATCATGATATTCTAGGCTACTTAATTTACAGAAACGATATCTGTAAATATTATAAATTGATATAAAATTACTCTTAAACCTATACTTATGTTCACGTGAACAAATGTCCAAGTTTGTAGCACAAGGATTTCCATTTTAGATATTAATATTATCAAATTCTACCTACCAATACTATAGATACTTATTCACATTCAAGATCTCTATATTTGTGATTTCCCCATAACTCCTACTATCTTTGTCCAACCCACATAATATTTTATTTATCATATCCACAATTATTCACATTCACAATAAAATCGTAATAGTGATGAAAAGGAGACGAGTACACTAGTCTGTCAGTAGCTGAATCGTGGCATCATCGTGTCAAGGACAGTTACAGGCGACGGTAGAATTTTCAGATTCAGCGAGTCCAGGCTTAGTTAAAAGTTCTGTTTAATTGCGACGACGAAGGGATCTGCTTGATTGGCAAAAAGGCGAGTGAGTGACCCTCGACAGACAGGAACACAGAGGTCACCATCCTTCGAAACAATCAGTGACTTCCGGTGTGCCGCGTCTGCCTGTGAATCACTTTGATACTTCTGTATCAATGTTTTTATCCGTCTCTTTGTTTAAATCGCTCATAATCATTTTTTTTTATATGCAAGCGTGACGCACATTACTAATGTTTTTATATCGTGAGAATTTCGTTTCAGGTTAATCGTGGTCGTGAACCCCATTTGTGGAATTGTTTTGCGAGGGAAGTGTAATTGAACTCGAACGATAATAAGACAAGTTTGAACTCGTCGACGTAAACACGTACTCGCAACCGTCTCTCGTTTAAAAGAAATTATGTAGGAATCGATAAATATAAAATGAAACGTTCGACTTTAACATAGATGTATATAATTTTTCAATTTTTAGTCTGTGGTCTCAGATTTCAACAACTTTTCTCTGCGTATATTATAAACTTATATAATCGATAAATATTGCAGATCTCTCTCCATTCCGAATATTTCAATTTCGTTCAGGAAAAGAGTAATTTCGCACGAATATCGCTTTTGCGATTATCCGTGGTTCAAACGACCGCGTATCTGAGACGAGAACGCCGCTTGTATTCGATATGATGGTAAGTTTTTGCACCACTTGACACCAGACGATATTTTGCCGAGGTTCATCATAGATCCTCGAGGATCGACGAAGGCTTTCGAGAGCCGGTCACACGTTGATGAGTTGCTAGTCTTTCTTACTGATGAAGCTTAAAACAGCAACATTAGGGTCAGAACTTTAGAAATTCAAAGAACCCACTCTGAACATGCTTCATCCCCTATCGAAACCTCGAACATTTTCCA